ACACACACACACACACACACACACACACACAAGCACATACACAATTTTAAACCGCTCTTGCCAGACAGCGTTAAACAGAAATATCACAATTTCCCGCCGAAACTCAAACTGTAGACTTTTAGAGAAGGTTATGAACCCAATACATGTAGTTGTAACTGCAGTGGAAATAGATCGTCAGCAAAAAGCGAATATATCCAAAAACATAAGAAAAACATTCTAATCCATATTCCAGACTCGGTTCAGTTCGTCTAACATTCGAAAAAGGTTTTTATTGCTCAGCTCGCGTATCTCAATTGCACCAACCTGAAATCGCGAGCCTGGGAAATATTCCCATCTCCAGAATTATGACGCAAAAATGCATCTTACACGTTAAAAAACAAACCCTGCTTCATAAGCTGGGGAAGAAATTTTCAGCACTCTCGAATGTTCTGCTTATGTATATTTTTATGTCTCAAAGATCCGCAGCAAAAAATGTTGATAGGTTTTTGAAAATTCGCTTCTTCCCTCTCCCCTGTGGGAAGTACAACATCTTCAGCCCTGTGAAAATGTTATGCTGGGAAATTGAGAAAAAATGCAAAATGCTCATTCCTATAACAATATGTCTGCATAGACAGATATCGCTGTGGACGGTGGGCCTGAAGGAGAAAATAAAGGCTTTGTACTACAATAACTTGGACCGAAAAAAATGACCCGACGATGGGCCTATTGGTTTTGGAGAACGTAAATGAAACTGCAAATGTTTTTCTTTTGATTTAGCTTTGTTTTTATTTTTGTTTTCGTGTTTGAGTTGTTTGTTTTTGTTTTGTTTTGTTTTGTTTTTTGTTTTTTGTTTTTTTGCTGTTGTTGTTAATTCTTTGTTTGTTTTTTTGTTTGTTTTTTGTTTGCTTGTTATTGTTTGTTTTGTTTGGGGTTTGTTTTTTGTTTTTTTGTTTTGTTTTGTTTTGTTTTGGGGGGGGGGGTAAAAACGCCCACTGACATAATTTAGCGGGCTTCAGAATCCTCGCAGACAGACTGGCAGACCGAGATTTAGTCAAAAACTGATGTGTTTCGTTTTTTCTTTTAATTGATAAAAGTCAACGTTAGCCCTCTATTTGAAATTTTTTTGACCTCGTACTCACACACACACACACACACACACACACACACACACACACACACACACACACATGGTCGCCACTCTCCATGGGGCCAGTCGACGTCATGCACAAAGGATGCCTTTAACTTATTTTAAGAATGGGGTATCGAAATTTATGTTTTACTAAAAACTGCTTCTATGTGCTTATTTCCTCTAAAGCCGTACGTGCCATACATAGAATATCAATCTTAGACGGTGATATCTAGCACCAGTAAGCCGTGATGAACCAAACATCAGTGTTTTCTGTTAGACCAGAGCCTATTCTTAAGAAATAAACCCTTTGTAACATCGTTTCGAACTTTTAAGAGTTACTTTGTGCCCCTCTTTTCCGTTTGACACGACATCTATTTTTACCAGAGTTGATGGAGTTGAATCTTGAAGCATCAAATCTCTCAAGCAGGTTCCAGAAAGTTCAACAGTAAAAGGCTCATGCGTGATAGCTCCTCCTGGGGGAACAATACATTACATGTAATGAGCTGAAGTTTCTCTGTACGTTGATCTTTTTCAATAGTTTGGAGTAAGATGATCATTCTTAGGAAAATAATCATAGTATAGTTAGTAATGAAATGTCATAGTTCAAGGGTGGCTTGAGGACGAATGGTCTGGATTTATAACAGCCTTAACTTTGTCAATCACAGACCCAACAGGGAAAAATAGAAGGAAAAATATAAAGGCGTTCATAACATTACGAGACGCACATGGGTCTTGTCAAATCCATCCCACAGTCTGTGAGGCTTGGAGAGTAAACTGTTAGCAAGACTGGATCAGACGTTCTACAGAAAGGTACGTAAGAGACCTAGACACTAGAGCTGTGCCCATTCGATTTTTCAACCTTCACGATTTTTTTCATGCGCTATTCATAGTTGTTCGAATCGTGATGGAGCCATTCAAATGCTGTAATTACGGGTAATGGATTTTTATCTCAATTTTTCACAAACCGCCGTAAAATTAAAACACATTAATTGTATCTTAAATGATTGTGGTAAATACAGCAGTACTTTATACTTGATGATTATGATAGAAGGAGGTAAATGGAGCCAGCAAGTGTAATAAAACATGTCTCAAAGAAGATTTCAATATTGTCCTCTAGTCACACCATGAATAGCTTAATGGTCCATGACTCTCGAATATCAAGCTCTGGGGATTACTTTGTACCGCAAGAAATGAACAATAGGGAGGCGGAATGAGCTCTATCACTGACAGACTTAAATAAGAATAGAAAACATTCGCACGTAGTATTCACATAGCATGCTAGCATGAATATATGTATTTACTCCACGCTTCAAAGCTGCTATGAAGTTTCGTTTCCTCACAATTGCACAGCACTTCTAGACAGAAGACATTATAAATACCCAACAAAAATGCTAGACCTTTACCACAGAAGTTCCTGGGTTATAAATGTCACCCTCCAATGGAGAGTTCCGCTCCCTGATAGAGGGACAACAGAATATTATTACACCTAGACCTAAGGGTTCCTCTTCACTCACGGCTGCTGGCTAGGTTTTCTCGGACAATGGCTACCACAGTTGGAGGATCAAAGGTAAGCACTCCCTCTATGTTTGAGGAGCCTGCTAGGCTACTGTTAGCTTACCTGCTCTTTCATT